TTGAAAATTTTGTGTGAATATGATAACCTCAATTTAAAAGCTAGCTTTAAAACTCTCAATTTTGCCCAGCTTCAACCCTAGTCTAGAGTAATAAGACTCTTATCATCTCATCGTATGTCCAGAAGACAAGAATTAAACATTTCTACACAATAAAAAAGGGATTTTTACACATAAAAAAATCTCAAAATGTCCATCTAATTAGTGTTAATAAAGCAAAAGGATAGAAAATTTTTAGATTCAATTTTTACATTTTCATATTTTTTTGAAGGGTTGAAAAAAGAAACAAATTTTTAATTTAAAAAGATTCACATCCCATTTTTGCGAATCATCAAGTCACTTTCACCCTCCCTTGAGTCGTCATAATCTAGTCATTTTAACCCCATCAAATGGCTTTTCAACAAACCACAAAATCACAATTCACTTAAAAAGCAATTTTTATTCCTACATACTTTATCCATGAATTTATGACAGCCATCAATAAAAAACATGAGGAATTTACTCACGAGAAAAAAAGCAGCAGTAGAACGAGATGTAAGGTAGAACATAATATTATTTTTTTTTATTTTCCAAAAATAAGCCGCGACTCTCACACAAACCGTAATAAAATAAAATAAAAAATATTTTTATCTCAGGAAAACACATGATCCAGTTAAACGCAATAAACACGAGTAAAAACGCACTTCCCTCAGTTTGTATTATGCACCGCATGTTGAAATTACTATGTGTGACTTTTATAGTGAATGAATGAATGAATGGAACGAAAAAAAAAATCTCCGTGTAAATACAGCATCAATAGCACAACGACAGTCATAAAAATAAATAGAATTGAATATTTTCCCCGGTGTGTTTTGTATGCAAAAAGGGAAAGTTGAATGAATCATCAATTTTGGAAGTGACGCGGGGTCCGATGATGTTATATGCATGATTACTCATAGACTCGAGAAAAAAAAAAAATTGCGTAAACAAAAAGAAAAATTGATTTTTCGAGGTGTGCAATTTATCAAACAAGACAAATGTGAGGAAAAATTATTGACATAGATGAAAAATTTATTGAGAACTGACTGAAACTGAACACCTCAGATGAAATGATGTGAATCGCGGTCGAGGCAGGGACATAATTGGGATTTTTATAATTTTAAGGTTTAACTCTGAATGTTCAACAAGGGCCCCCCCAACTTCACATCTGCGTCACGCAAAAAAAGAGACGAAATAAAAGAATCAATCGGAACTAAGAAGAAGACACTTTTCTTTCACATAAATTATACAACACAAGGAATATTTATAAAGATAGTGAATCCACTTCAAACGCGTTGCTGCAAGCCAACATCAATTCATCACACAAGTTGTACAATATACTTACATTGTATGTCTTTGTCGTATTTGAAATTCTTTCTCGCCGATTGCCACCAAAATACACAACAAATCTTTTTAAATTTTTTTTTCCTCCTTTTAATTCAAATCGTCACTCGGCACGGCTTTTAAAATTTTCTGTGATTTATTTTAAACAAAAAAAATTTCTTTCTTATCAATCAAAAAGTTTTCAGTTCTCTGTTTATATTTATTTTTTAACTTTTCATGTTCAGCTTAGTCTCTTTGTGTATATCTATTTTATTTTTTCATTTAATATCAAATTATTTATCTCGATCACTTTATCTTGCCTTGAATGTCTTTTATGATTTTTTTTATTTTTTGATATTTTTTGCGATGAAAATTTCTTCAGCACATTTTTGCTGTCAAACGGCACAAAATACACTGAAACACATCAAACAAAAATAGATCCGCTGCTGAAGAAAAAAAATCTGTAGAACGATGAGTTAAGAAGAAAGTAGGAAAAATTACTTTTTTTTTGAGAAAATGAGAGGAAAACTCACGAGAGTTCGGAAAATTGTAAAGATCAGCATCTCTTGCCGAGAGAGGATTTGTAGTGGGGAGGAAATTTTCCTCAATTTTCTACATTTTCTACTTCCTCCCACTACTCATGTAAGATTCAATTGCGCACTACAAAACAGCTAATGTCGCGCATGGTAGGGATGAAATCCACTCTAATCGCTCTCAAATAAATTAAAGAGTTTCCATGGGCTTTCTACCCTTCCTTTTGCCTGCCAAAATTCGATCGCACCAAGATTTTCCACCTACCCAAACGCACATAGAAAAAATACACAAAAGAAGAATATCAAAAGGTGGAGTTTAGATACACGCTGTTGTGCTCCTCTCCCTGCACATGGACTTCAAGATGTCTTTTGTAATTTTTTTCTATTTTTCTTATTTTTAGCTCTTGGGCTCCACAAGACAAACATCATCATCACCATCATCATGTATTGTTGTGTATCGTCCTCAACAATACAATGAGGTACCAAAAAAAAAAACTTTTCCTTTTTCCTTTCCTTTTGTGGACAAAAAGGAAATACAGAAAAACATGGAAAATGAAAAATTTTGTGGTAAAATGAGCAAATAGAAAATAGACTGTGATGAAGGTACTTGCTAAAGCCACTTTTGTGCTGGTCAATTTATGAGTTTTCTCATTTTCTAATGTCAATCTTTATTTGTGGATGAATCTTTTCTAGTTTGTTGAGTTGAAATTGGTGTTTTGATGTCTGTGATCATCTTTGTTTGTCGGATATGAATTCTTTCTTTGGATGATGTTGTTGATTTCCACTTGAATTGATTTGGTTTTCGCTCTAGGAAGTGTTGGAATTTGTTGGAATATTTTAAAGGTTTTGTAAGTTTTAGTGTATTGGCTCAGAACTTTAAGTTAAAATTAGCTCAAGTTACCAAATTAGACGGAAACTTCGGGGATTCACTTTTTGATATTTTGCAATTTAAGTCTCATTCATTGGTCCTCAATTTGTGGTCTTTACTATAGCTAATAATCGTTTAAATCATTTCATGTTTTGGTTAAGATTTGATGCTAGCTTCTTAATTTATATTAGAAAATTGATTTCTAAGAGTCATTCTTATCGAGGATCATTTAAGAGCACTATCTAAGTCAAAGAACATGCAGAATAATTAAGATTAATTAGTTTAAAAGTTGATTTGAAGGAACTTGTTTCTAAGATTTGAATATAAATTTATAAAAATCAGAAAAAATTCTGAAAGACTCTTTTAAACTTTAGAAGATTTCAATTCTACATGAAAACTATATAAACTTCAAAATTCTTGAGATACTAAAGCAATCTACCTTCACACCCTTCACAAAAGACTTTAAACATTCAAACAGCACATATTAAAACCACCACGATCAATATATCAAATCCACTGACAACAATTTCAATACAAAAGATTTTCTTTTGTCATTTTTCTCAACTCCCTCGGATTTTTATCATTTCCTTAATGTATGTCAAATATTCTCTTACTTACAAATTCATGTATAAAATTATACTTATGTAGATATCAAGTACATAAAGCATATTACATATAAAAATATGTATCATATCATAAGACATTCCTCTCTAGACAGTTATTGATATCAAATGCTTACATTGTGGTCACTTTAAAGCCCTTTTTTCATCTTCATCCTTAAAATAGATGACCAAGATTTTCAGTCTTGAATTCGATTTGCCTCAAGGAGGTCACATGGAAAGCAATTTTCTTCTTCTACAATCTCTTACTTGTTTGCTTGTACGATGAAGAGAATAAAGATTTTCATTCATTCATTCCATCACAACGGAAAATCCGTCAATCAATCAAAGTCTCCTTTCTGCGGCTTTCTATATAGTCTCAGGAAGAGATTTGTAGAGAGAATGTGGTTTATGTGGATGAATGAAAGGAGTTTTGATCAAAGTAGGTCTTTGAAAAAAATAAATAAATTGAAAAAAAAAGATTTTATTTTCTTGAGAACAAAAAATAATTTGTTAAGTACAAGAAAAGAGAATTTATAGTCATCAAGTCATATCCATCGTCATCCTGGGTATCAAATCTTTTTTAAAAAAATAAAGAAAAACATTCGCAAAACTGAGTCTGAGAAAAAAAAGAATCCTAAGAATAAAAAAACATTAATTCATCAAGGAAGGCAAAAAAGAACCTTTTGATAGCTTTGGGTATTTATTTCCATTTTTATGCTCCAACAGATTTATTTTATATTTTAACTCATCAGGAAAGGCAAGAAGGAGAAAATTACGAGAGAAGGGAAAAATTAAATAATGAGGGATTTATTCTGCCTTCACTCACACCCAAGCGAGAAATTTTTCGTGTAAGTCGTCCAAGCCATTAAACATCGAGCAGCAAGTTGTAAGAAGTTGGGAGAAAACTTCAACCACATCCACAACTACACATATATAAGGAATAATAAACAAAAGAGAGAAATGACGGAAGGAGAAGTAAAGGACAAAGGATCCCGAAAAAGAATCAAGATGTCTTTGAAATCATCGTGTTGTAGCTTAAGGTTAATTAAATGTTTTTTTCTTGCTGCTTGTGGGGTCGTTCGTAATTAAGGTTCATTGAAAAATGAGGGTTTTAGAATGCGTTTTAACTCTTGTAGGCTGAATAGTCTTGGTAGCTCAGTGGTTTAATTGTTTTGATCAGATATGACACACAAATGAGACTAATGAATTAGCTATGCTAAGTTCGATTCTCAATAGTCTTTAGTGAATCATAGAAACCGTAAATCAAGATTATGGTATCGAATTGAAATCTACAGACAGCATAGCCGTTAATATGGTAGTCAAGATTTTAAATGAGAGATGGGAACTATGCATGATCCTTTAGGCACATGAGTATTGAGTAAGCAGCCACATTAAAAATGAATTAGTTTGAATATGGCTCTGTCTTCTTAATATGAGATTTAACTCGATCCTTAGCTACAACAAAATTCTAAAATATAAAAGCAAGAATTTCCGAATAACTTTTTCCGTCTAAAAATAGAACATTACAAATGTACAGACCCCACTGTGCTTAAGACAATGGAAAATGGGTATTTTACTTAATGATTTTCGACATTTTTCTTCCTATCTTCATTCCCCACACAATATATAACAACATAATATATATAAAGTAATACACGAATGCCTGATAAGGACTCTCTCCACCGAAGCTTTAATCAATTACTCGGATCGTTGGACCTGCCAAATGATAAAATCAAGGAAATGAATTCATACGACAACCATAAGAAATGGGAACTTTTATGTTCTCGAAGTCTAATGAAAGTCCATCAATCACCGAGTGCTTATCTCAAACGACTTAAAATATCAGCATCGAGAGAGACTTTACGTGGTTTGGAAGTATCATTAAGAACATATTCCACTGAATGGTTACATGACTTTTTGAATCAACGCAAATGCCTCAATATAATTGTAAATATCATCAATACTGGCAATTTGTCATCGGAGAAATTTCAAATTGCATTGCTGTGCTTACGAGCGATACTTTATTCGACTCCGGGCTTTACAGTTGTAATTAATCATCCAAAGCTTCTCGAGAGCCTCGTGAATAATCTTCGTAAAGTATCGACAAAAAATCAAACATTAATTTTGCAACTGTTGGTCTTTGTATGTAAAAAGTCACTCGATGGACGAGGCAAAATTTTAGAATTGTTTAAAATTGATGATGCAAAGAGACAATTAATGGATTTTCTCACAATAAAATGCATCGTGAGTGAACAACAAAATATTTTGGCAACTTTAAATCTCATTAGAGCCATACTCGAGTCCACAACTGACATCAACCATCGAATTGTTCTTCAATATGCTTTCAATGAAATTGGATTAGATGATCACATTAAGCGTTTGATGTTGAATGAATCGAATTTGATTTCTGAAGTTATCGACGAGATTACCGAATACAAGTCGACGATAATTAATGTTAATCAATTAATTAAGGATCGCGATTGTATCAAACAGCATGTATTAAATATCAAGACATTAAATGAGAAGTTAGAACCGAAGGATCTGAAGATACGAAGTTCAGAGACGAAAATTGGGGAAATGGAAAAGCAATTAATTAATTATGTAAGTAATGTAGGAAAATAAGAAGTATCATAATTTTTAGGTTCTTTTGTGAATTTTTTGTTTTTGTAATAATAATTTTACTAGTGTGAAGTTTAATTATTGGAGTTGATAGCTACTAGCTTGTCATCAGAGCTCGAAATGGGTTCAATTTGAATAGTCGACTCTAGTTGAAACTAGTCCACTCTTGTTGACCCTAGTCTAAACTAATCGACCCTAGTCAAAACTAGTTGACCATAGTCGACCCTAGTAAACCCTAGTCGACTCTAGTAAACCTTAGTCAAACCTAGTTGAAACTAGTCCACTCTTGTTGACCCTAGTCTAAACTAATCGACCCTAGTCGAAACTAGTTGACCATAGTCGACCCTAGTAAACCCTAGTCGACCCTAGTAAACCCTAGTTGACTCTAGTAAACCCTAGTCAAACCTAGTTGAAACTAGTCCACTCTTGTTGACCCTAGTCTAAACTAATCGACCCTAGTCGAAACTAGTTGACCGTAAACCCTAGTCAAACCTAGTTGAAACTAGTCCACTCAAGTTGACCCTTGTCTAAACTAATCGACCCTAGTCGAAACTAGTTGACTATAGTCGACCCTAGTAAACCCAAGTCGATTCTAGTAAACCCTAGTCAAACCTAGTTGAAACTAGTCCACTCTAGTTGACCCTAGTCGAAGCTAGTTGACCCTAGTCGATGCTTGTTAACTTTAGTCGAAACTTACATATCCAATTCTATTAAAATCAATAAAAGTTGGCTCATCTCGATAATTACTAGCACTTCTATAATCAAGCATCCTCTGAAAATCCATTTGTCCGTGCCTTTAATAATAATTTTCTCTAAAATTCTCAAATTTCCAACGAATCTTCACCCAAGTCCAACCAAAATAATTTTCAAATTCCTTCGATTCTCAAATTATTAAGGAAAAAGATAGCGAAAAAAAAATTATTCATCGAATTACTTGCATTGAAGTCTATAAAAATCACTTCCACTCATTCATCCAATGGATTTAATATAAAAGCGAAAGAAATGTTTTAATCAAATTAATTCACCAAAAAAATTTATGTCCTTTTGCCGCGCTCGTTTCACTGAGCATCAGTAGCATAAGAATGGGAATGAAGAAATGAGAATAATGAAAATAATCTTCTTTCCTCTTCTTTCTATTCTATTTTTTTTTTTTTTTTTCATTTTATCAAAACGCTTTTTATATTCTCTTCCATACATATGCCGACTTAATAATGCAATAGAAAAGAAATCAGGAAGTGGAAAAGAAAGATGGTCTAGAAAAACTGTCGGAAGGATCCAAAGTGGATAAAATTCCGGATGTGAGCAGTAAGACGGAAATATCAGGACAATCTATAGCACCATTGCCTCCTTTATGTGTTCCACCACCTCCACCTCCACCTAAAATGCTCGGACCACTATTATTGCCGATTAAGAAGAAGTTTGATCCAAAATCAAAAATGCCAACATTACATTGGTCAATTTTACGACCAAATCGTATTCGTGGAACGATTTTTGGCGATATTAATGATGAGAATATCCGCATGGCTATAAACTTCAATCATTTCGAAGATAAATTTTGTATTGTTGACACACAACAGAAACAGCAGCAAGGAGGAAAACAAATTGCTGTTACAAAAAGCTTTACTCGTATACCAAATTACGTTACGCTCCTTGAATCCAATCGGCAACGCAATGTATCAATATTATTTAGAAAATTAAATTTGAATGCTGACGTGGTCGTACAAATCATCAATGAGTACGATGTTAATCAACTGAAATACGAGAATGTTGAGCTACTAACAAGAATGGCGCCAAAGGATGAAGAATATTTCTTATTTCGGCAATATATCGATGAAAAGAAGGACATTGTTCTACTCAGTGACGAGGATAAATTTCTTTTAAAACTTTCACTTGTCGAACGATTACAAGTGAAGCTGAATATTATGGAATTTATGGGAAATTTCAACGATCAAGTTGATTCGTTGCTTGTACAAATTTCTGCCATTTCATCCGCATCATTATCTCTGAAGAGTTCGGAAAAGTTTAAAGGCATAATCGAGATTATTTTGACATTCGGCAACTATATGAATGGGAATAAATCAAGTGGCAGCGCGTATGGATTTCACATGAGGGGAACATTAGAGAAATTAAATGACACAAGATCAAATGATAAGAAGCAATCACTCTTGCAATATATTGTAACTGATGTCATTGCTCAGCAATTTCCACAATTTTTATCATTAAACACGGAACTTTTATGCATGAAAACAGCCGCTCGTGTATCAATGAAAAATGTCGCCAATGAAGTTTCCAGCATCAAATGTAGTTGGAGAGAAATGAGCGATGAATGTGATTTGTCATTGAATACAGCATTGAAAGCATTCAAAGAGTCTTCGTACGGTACATGCAACAAGTTGATAAATGAATTTGAGCAAGCACAAAACAATTACAATGACTGTATGGCATATTTTGGTGAATGTGATGCAACAATCGATTCCGACGAGTTCTTTACAATTGTTGAGAAATTTGTTGCTCAATTTATGGCTATTGTTAGCAAGGTCAAGTGCTCATGAAAATGAAAATTTTCTCTTGGATGCGGGGTGGATGTCAAACCCTTTTCTTCATTATTATTGTTATTATTTTGACTAAATTTACAGTAGATCCGATTTTGAAAATGTCATAAAATTTTTCTTCATCTCACTCTATTGTCAGTGTCTTTGTGTTTGTGTATGTCCTTCCACAAATAAACATAACCTCAAAAAATACTTTAAAATACTTTATCCTTAACATCAAATTCCAATTTCATAATGAATTTAATTGCTTTTTTACTTCTTCTTTATCGTCGTATTTAGTTCAGCTTAAAATATTATAATTTTGAAATTTTCAGTTCCATGGAAGGACATGAGGATTGCTGTGTTGGGAATTGAATGAATGTTTTGTGATGATAATTAAGCCAAAATTTTATGTTTTGAGCTTAAGAAGGTTAATAGCTCAGGGGTGTTCTGGTACTCCGACAATCGCAAAGCAAATCTAGAGATCCTATGTTCGAATCTTGACATTAGTAGCTATCCCTTTTTGAGTCATAAGTACTGAAAATGATTCTCAAAGTGCCCCAAACAAACCGTTACAAAACATCCAACCAATCCCCATCACGAACAAAAATAAACTCATATAAGCATAACATTTTGTGGGTGGGATGAATGAATTTAATCCTTTTTAGAGACTCACTAAAAACTGTAATTCGTGTGGATGAGTAAGAGAGATGTTTGAACTTAGAAAATGAAAATTCTTTCACGAGTTGAAATACACAACTTTTAGCATTGTAAAATTGAATGTCTTGTAATCTTCATGATGATAAAATTGAAAATTTTCTAGTTTTTCGGGTTGAGCTTAATACTTTTTATTGCCAACTGCCTCATAAAACGTTATTATAGTCATTTAATTTTCGGGTTTTTTTTTCGTCTTCGGATAAATCCTCTCTCTCCTTCATTTGACACTACCACTGTCTTATACTACCACAAAAAAAAGTTGTCACTAAAATTTTCGAACTAAGACTGCAACCCTTTCTTTTTTGTTTGTGTTTAACTTACGATTTTAAGACAATTTTTTAAATGCTGATTTAATGTGGATTGAGTGGGTTTGTTGGTTCTTTTGACTTGTTGACTAGATTAGCTTTAGATTTTTATTCTACAGTTGATTTTCAAAACATTGAGAAGCACCAGGATTAGGACAAAACCATATAGCAAGGCTAAAGAATCTAATATGATCAAAAATTGCGCTTAAAACTCAATCTTTTGTCAATAATTCTTTAAATCTCACTAAAATTACAACATTTTTAACCCATTCAACACACAGCAAGGTAGAATCTGTGGATGTGCACATTATATGATGAATAATGAAACATAAATTATTCACCCTCATTTATTTTTATTCGACCATGCATACAGCATGCACATCTACATCAACTATAAATAAATTTATGTATCCTTAAAATATTGTCGAATCAATAGACACGCACACTTACGCAGTTGATTTTTTGGAAATAAAGGATTTTCATCTTCCTTTTAATTGCAATAAATTTTCATGAATAATCACCCTCGACTGCAAAAAATAGTCGGCAGACGGCTGTATATGTCTTTTGTCAGGTAGAAGTTGCAGAAATTGTTCGTTCTTCATGCCTTAATCTTGTTTTAACTGTTTTCATATTACAATGTTAAACCTATTAAACTCTCAGACTCACGTCTTCATCCTACTATTCCATAAATTCTTTTTTAAAAGTCTCTCTTACCATGAACAACAATATATTCATTCCTGTGTGTCGAATAATAAGATTAAGTATAATAAATTTTATATCGAATAAATTCGTGCTTCATTCAACATTGTAAAAAGGGCGCATGGTGCTCATAAATCCTGATGAGAGGTGTATTCATCGAATGTAATAATTTTTTTTTGAATATGAATTTTTTTGCCATCTCCACCCACTAACATTTTTGTTCCCTTTTATTCCATATTTTTACCGAATAGATGCTTATTATATTGTGTACAAAATAATACTATCCGTCGATCCCTCATCACTGAAAGAATTTTTTCATTGTTTTTTTTATCGATGCAACAAGGATGTTTATCCGTTTATGGATATTTATTAAAATATTGTGATGCAGAGGGGATTTTAAGGAAATGACGTCAGATTGCAATAGATAACTTGCTAACCCTTATTTAATAAAATATTTCCAAGATCAAAAAATCTTGACAGAGATGTGGCAAGAAGGGGTCTCAAAAGCTTTGGGAGCTCAAACGATAGAAGCCCTTGCTTCGTCTCTAAACCTAGTGCATCTTTATCTTTAAAATATCAGACGCCATTCATGAACGAACCCAAATAAGGAAAGTGAAGAAATAAGCGTTCGTTAATGCCTTCGAGGGCCTTTGTACATACCTCAATCTTTTTACGTTTATTTTCATACTCGACAATATCTTTATTCTCTATTTTTTGATTAAAAACCGAAAAAAACCGCCTTACACTGAGGCGCCTTCTTCCAATTCATAAAAAACGTAGAAATAATAATAACATAAGAAAATTTCATTTCTTCGATATTATATTCTCGATTTATATATTTATCTGTACGAAAAAGAGAGAAAAATATGTAGCTTACCGTGCTTATTCAACATTCTTGTGATGGCATCAAAATAAATATTCCTTGAGCTTCCAATATAATAATGATGATGATCTCAGGGTGGAAGGACGGATACCTCATCGCTTATGCAATTGCTTACCAGACGAAAAAGAAAAAAAAATCGACACAGAGAGATGAACATGAGCAAACTATAAAAATACATTAACCGAATAACGCTTTATGAAAATAATAATAAATTCCATATTTAACCTTAAGGCAAATAAATTGGAAAATGTAGCAAAAAGCGAAGCACAGTGCTGAATGAAATGAGACGTAGAATTGTGTGAAGAAAAAGGCGGACACAGTGACTTCAAATCATTCTCATCATATATTTATTTCATAAAAGTAAACGACACACACATATTGTTATCGCTATTGTTGCAATTTAGCCTCAAGTCACATTGATTCTCTATCTTTTACTTTTTTATGTTAAGCATTACAAATAGAAAATTGCATTTAGCACACGTCTCTTATTATTTTTCTTTTGGATCTTTGGTTTTTCATCTTTGATGTCATGAATTTTGAAGAATGTGGATTTATTGAGTAAGGATGAATTGTGATTTGACTGGATGTCTTATGGTTTTTTGGGTATAGGAGCTAAAATGGCAAAAAAACAGAACGAATTTTGGGGTAAAGGACCATGTACGTCATCTTTTCTAGGTTCTTAAGGGTGTTCCTAAAGGGCCGTTCACTTATAACGTCCGGGTGGGGGGGTCAGCAAGAAAAGAACAATAGAAATTCCGGAAATTCCATTGTTCTTTTTTGAAAAATATCCGTTAATATCGGACGTCATAAGTGAACGATCCCCAAGCAGACTTACCTTTAGAACCACTTTCGATGCATTCGGCCTTGCTGATTTCTTATGCTAAGTTTTCATATTATAGCTTTCTCTAGTTTTGAACCCAAAGTTCTCTGTTTCATTGTTTTAGTTTACATTCACACCCAATAATTGTGTGAGAGCTATCAACTGATCAAACTAAGCTTCAAACCTGCTCCTGACATTTTCCTACTTTTTACCAATATTGATCCGATAAGACATACATAATATCCTTAAAAAAATCTGTGGAATGAATAATTTTCTCTCATGATGAATCTCAATATTTGACTGTTGACTGAATACTGTAAATCGATATCATACCTCACCCTTACTAATATTTACGTTACATTACAAATATTGCATGTAAAAAAAATCTTTATGCTTACAAGAAAAATCAAAAATTCCAGGTCTTGACTTTATTTTATCGATAATCATGAAGGGGAAAAGAAAATAAGGAATTGAAATTTAATCAAACATCTAATTCAGTTAGATTGAGGAATTTTGATTTTGAATGAAGAACAAGAAGGCAATTAATTAAATGAAAAATTTACTCAAGGGATGATTTACCGTGAGATTAGAATTTTCCGAACCCCACCTCCATCAACATCCACAACAACTTTCTATTTATTTTAAGACTTTTTAAACTCAGCAGATTGTGTTGTTTGTCAAAATGAAATAAACAGAAAATAAATTTATTCAAGGAATGAATTGTAAGATTCTTAGCTGAAAGGGTAAGGAATGAATTGATTACGTCCAACAAAAAGGCTAACCACAAAATTTTCATCTTATGCATAAGAAAATGAAAAATCTTTTGTTGTCCGATGAGGAAAAATCCTTTTCATAAATTTAATTTTCAAATTCTTAAAGGATATTCTGTTCCCTGTTGTTATTCAAGCTTCTCTTCATTATCACGATTATTAGAATAATATTTATTTTTTATTAAATTTTCTTAGCGAACGTAACGCAGTTCCTTTTATTATTTGGGAATATATTTTGTGAAATTAAATTTATCGCAGAAGTAAATAATGCAGAGGTGGATAAATGAGAAGTTGAAGCTTCTAGTTTGCAGTAATGAATGGTACTAAGGTCGTCAAAGCAAGTTATGGAGCTCGTAGTCCAAGTAAAACTTGATTTTTAACCTCAAAATGTTTTAAATCTTAAGATAATCTACCTCGGATAGCCTGGAACCACACTAGAGGAATTAATATTAAATCTTACATGATACTAATTCCTCATCAAGACGTCAACTAGAGCTAGGTTTTATTAGATGTAATTCAGAACAGCATCTAAAGTATTCCCAACCCTGAACAATAAAAAATTAAAAGAAAATAAAAGGAACAAAAAATAAACTTTCCTTCCTTTTGGGTTAGCACGCATTGTACAAACAACAAATTGCTTACTCCTTTCCAACGTGCGATCTTAATCAACGGTTTTAAAAACAAGTAGAATAAAAAAAAGTCTTTTTGGATTCACGTCAGGCAAATTATAGAGTTCGAAAAAAGGCAAGAAAAATTTAATTACAGAAAAATACCCCTTTTTCCGAGGATATTCATTTTAATTGATTTAAGGTATTATTTTGCCTTTTCCCACATCTCCCATTTGAATGAGAGAAAAAATTTAAATTCCTTTGCCATTTCTCTAATTCTTAAGGAAAGGCAATAAAGAAATCACGAGTGCACAAAATTTACTTAAGTTGTTGGTTGATAAAAATCATTGAATGGGAATGAAAAAAAAATGAGAGAAGGAAGGAAAAAGAACGGAAAAAATTTACTGAATGGAATGTTAAGAAGCCAATTGTACACCCTGAGATGAGCATTATTGAGATAC